AATTTTCAATTTATACAGAGAGGCAAAGTGTGAAGAATTTCTTAGGCATTTAGGAGGAGAGCTGGAAGACCCACACTGTATGAAGCTATACTGATTGAGGCAGTACTTACCAGTTTGGCCTTTGAGTGGCAATGGGAGCACCAGCTGTGAGCCCTGAGAGTCTTCCTGGCTCCACCCCGAACCAGGCTGATAGAGTACTGTGGGGCTGAGGCCCAGGAGTCTGCAGCACGCCCTCTGGCTGTTTGTATGCACTTCAAAGCCTAGGAAATACTGAATAAAGACACAAGGAGATACAGAGCAGCCGGTGGTGCAGATGGTGCAGAAGAGGGCCATTCGGATGTGGTTCACCAGGCTTCTGTCAGAGGAGGCACTGCCTATCGGTGACCTTGGGTAATTTCTATGTCCATACAGAGCAGGTATCTAACCCCGGACCATACCACATTATATATATATATATATATCAACGCAGACAGACCTACTGTATAAAAATAAAAGGCCAAACTCTAAAGCCAGAGAGGTAAAATGCTGGAGACCTTAGGAGAGTTGAGCAGGCTAATAAAGTTCTAAGCATCAAAATGATAAACTGGACTGTATGAATAGCGAGTGTTTGTTTCAGGAGTAGGGTCTGAACCCAAGGCTCATGCATCACAAGCCACTGAGTTCCATGCCCAGCCTCAGAGCCAGTTCAGAATTGTAAAATCCGTGTCTTTACTGTTTTGGGTACTTGAACAAGTAGCTTTTCTCAACTATTTCTACCACTTCTGTTGAACAGTAATGAACTCTGTGAGATAGTCAGTATATATGAAACCTAAAATAATTGAATTCAGCTTACTTCAGGATACAAAAAAAAAAACCCCAAAATCCAACAAAGGAAAGCATGGGCTTATGATGTTATTGGTGTTTTGGATGTGGCATAAATGTAAAGTCAGCTAAATTTCATCCATTTTCCCCCCTTATAACTACGACATCTCAGTCTTTGCTTCCACTCATTAACGGGTGCATAAGCAATGACTGGCAAAGTAGAGGGACTCAGGCTAGTTTAGGGAAGAATTTGGTTTTGAGACAGGGTCTCATGTAACTCGGGCTGGCCTTGAACCCCCAACCCTTCTGCCTCCTGGGTGCTAGGAGTACAGATGTGTGCTGTCATTCTAGTTTACGTGATGCTGCAGCTCAGAGACAGCATCGTGGGTGCTAGGCCAGCACTCTACCAATTAGTCCCTTTACAATGCATCTTAAATTATTTGGAACCTTTCTGTATTATCATTTGCCATAGAACAGATGGAAATTTAGAAAAACACATTTTTCAGAGCTGAAAGCATTCTTAGATGAGGTCCTCATCATTTCATTTGGGTGAGAAAAAAGAGGTCTAAAACTGGCAGACATCTTTCTCAAGGGAGCTAACGCAGAGTTTGGACAGGTACCCAGGTCAGTTTCAGTATGTTTTCCTGTTTTGTGCCAGTTCAGGATAGATTGGTTTTCAAACAGCTTGTAAGAACATACTGTCTTAAAGAAAAACGAGTGTAAATTTCTGGGCTACTCCACAGTGCGTGCTTAAGCTGAAGATGATCTGATTTATAGTAATAAACATCCTTCACAGCAGCAGCTACTTGTCATTTACAGGACTGAATCCTTGCTGAGAATATTCCTAGTGCTATCTAGGGAATGCTATAAAAAACATTTGTGAGCTTCAAGTTTAAATTTAATCCCCCCTCACGCCTCTGGGGATTGAATTTGGGGCCTCGGGTATGCTGTGCAAATGTTCTACTGCTAAGACATACCCCCATAATCTGGGTGGGGTTTGTTGTTGTTTTGTTTTTTTATTAGAATTCCATATGTAAGTACTGTGTATCATTTCTGTTCTCTCTCCTCATTCCAACTCTTCTATGCCCCTAACTCCCTCTCAAATTCATAACCTGTTCATTAATTATTATTGTTATGTGTATGTACATACACATCATGTACAACCTGCTGAGTCTGTTTAGTGTTGTTCCTATGTCCATGTCTTTAGGGTGACTACTTGGGATTGGATAACCTGTCGGGGTCATCCCTAGAGAAACCTGACTTCTCTTTCTCCTGGCAGACACTGGTTGCCGATGACTCATCATCTAGGGGTGGGGCCTTGTGAGACTTCCCCTATAGAGTGAGTGCGCCAGTGCGCCACCGCGCCACCGCGCCACCACTGCCCGGCTTAGGAGTGATTCTTACCTCATGGCAGTGCTTCCTGCAACATGCTGTCTACAGTTCGCAGTTTCCTCTTTGGAGGGGAATCACCTTCTTCACTTCTACCATGTCTGCTCCATCCCTCTTTCAAAGCCTTTGGAATGTCCATTTGTCAGATGGCATTCTGCTTTCAGTGTTTAGTGGGAATGTTTTTCTTGACAGCACATGAACGTCAAAGGCAGACCCCTGTCCCCAAGCTGTTGGTGTGTAAACTGTTGAGTCAGTGCGTCCCCGAGCCTCTGTGTTCTGCACACACTGTTCTTGATGGCAAACTGATGGAGCGGTTGGGAGGTGGGTGACTTTCTGCACTTTAGCTAAGAACATAGGAAGAGAGGCTGTGGGGTCAGAAGTGCCTCTCATAGGGGCTGCTCTCATAGGTTTCCGAAGCCCCATTGTTCATATTTATTTCAGGTTCACACTTCTGAGAAGTGAGGAGGGGTCTCATTTTAGAGAGGAGGAAACAACTTCCCAGGGCCTGGCTGATTTGGAAGACTCTTCCTGCTGTGTGTGCTCTCTTCCGTCTCGTTACTGTGAGTTTACAGTAATCGGAACCTCAGTAATGGGATGAAAAGAAACTCAGTTGGCAGTGCCACTGAGTGCAGGGGGTAGAGGGTGGTAGAGCCAGGTTCGCAGATACACCTACTGAGAAGAGTTCTTTCCTCTGAAAATTCTGGAGCGCACGTTTAATAATAAAATCTTCTGCCAAATAGTGTTGTGTATTTTAAAGGATTCCTTTTCTGACTAGGATGTGGCTCAGTGGTAAAATGCTTGCCTTGCATGCATAAGGCACAGAGTTCAATTCTCAGCACTGATATATCCTCGGAATTCATTTTTAAATGTCTCCTATTTCATCATTCATGGCATTAATAGTGATAAATATTCCTGTTCATGCTTGGTAAATGCATTCTCTTTGTAGGATTGCTAATGGAGGCTAACAGAAGAAGGTTATACATTTTTCTTAGAAATTATATTTCAAGCAATAGATAAAACATTTTAGTTACAAAAGTGAGTTTGGAAGAAAATTATTTAATAAGACATTGCCTTAGGACCTGCAGAAGCTTTCTGGGTGCAGAGACTGCTCACTTGTCCAGCTGCTGTGAACAGTTCCTGCACAGAGCGAGGGCTTGGGTGCATTAACAAGCAAACTTCAGGAAGACCTCATCCCTTTTTCCCCCCTCTTTGTGCATTTCTGTGTCTCTGTCCCCTCTCTCAGGTTCTTGCATGAAATTTTTTAAAAATGTTACTCTGTTCTTTAGTTCTGACTTGGAAGTATCATCAATTTCTGAATGATAATTATCTTAAGTTATTCACTTAAATGTGCATAATTTCATTTGGAAAATCTTATAAAATGACAGAGTGTTGCTTGGGACAAAATACTACTGTCGACTTTTGCTGTTGTCTTCGTTTTCTTCATTGTAGGGAGACTGGTCTAGATTAAGGTGTCTGGAAACTCAAAAGGGGATTGTGAGAAGGGAGGAGAGCCTTAGGGAGGGGAAGGAGGAGAGTGATGAGATAGACTTGATGAGAAGACAGAAGGGGAGTGTCTTGGGGAAGGAAGGGAGGCAGCCAAAGGATGGGGCCACGGGGGAGAGCTGTGGGGCAGCGACCAAGGAGAATCAGTGGAATTGCACACGTGTGTGCATTCACTCTGGTGAAACCCAGTATTTGTATGCTAACATAAAAAGTTGTCATTATTAATTTTCAATGAAAGGAAATAAAAGGCAAAGCCGCTCATGGGTAGGGTGAGTGTTGAGTGGAGAAAGCAGGTGCCTCTAGAGGCAGCCAGATCATGTGAGTGAGCGAGCGAGTGAGTGAGCTGGACGTGGGGCAGTGAGGAGTTCTAGGGACTTTGGTGCCACTAATATTTTGTTGACGGTCTTCATGCTAGCCTTTAGTGAACACTGTGAGTTAATGGATAAATTTGACCAGAGACAAACTTGTATTATTTTTACCTAATAGTTCTTAAAGTTGCCTGCACTTAAGCATTACCTGTGGAGCACTTAAAAAAAAAAATATGGATGCCCAGATCCTCTTCTTCTTGAAATTAATTTACTTTTAAAATTCTACAAGCTTCCTAGGTGCTCCTAATGAGCAGCCAGGATGTGAATGACTAATTGGATTCTGACTAGGAGCTTTCCACACCTGACTTCTAGAGACAAGCAAATGCTTGTTTGGAAACAACCAACACACAGCGGTGAAAGATGGCATCAACTTTCAGAGAGATAAACAAGCCCCTTTCTTTTTAATGAGCCGTAATGAAGGTTGTTGTTGGAATGCCCACCCAGGGATTAAACGTGTGCATTAAATGACTGCATTAAAGTGTGCCCATTATACCAAGCAGTCCTCGTTTACCACTGTATACTTTGTTTCCCCCAAACTTTCACTGCTGGTTCTAGTTCAAGTTTCTGCCTGAGTTCTGTTTGAGGACTGGTGTAGCTTTCTCTGGGGTTAGGTCTCAGTATGTGCATATTTTAAGTCTCATTGTAGGTGAGTTTTCTTAGGATGTCCCTTTTAAGAAAGCATTTTGCCTGAAGTTAGGGCATCTAACATGGAGGACTCTAACCACAGCTAAAAGGATTCTCCAAGTTTAAAATAATGTTCTATAATGTGAGTTGAAAAAAGATGAGAACGCCCCTCTCTTCTCTGTTTTTGTTTGTTTGTTTGCTTGCTTAGGTTGTCAAATCTGCGTTTATCTGTATTGTAATTTTGGGGATTGGGGGCAACTCTAAGAGCTGTACCTGGCTTACCCCTTCTTTCCCCGCCCTCCCTCCTTCCATCAGTGTTTACTTTCACAACCGAAGTTCTGGGCCATTCAGACGTCAGCCTTGATCCTGCGGACAAAGCTTGAGAGAGGAAGCACGCGGAGAGTGGAGCGGGCCATGAGGCAGACGCAGGTAACGTGGTGACGCCCTCCCTCGGTTGCTGTGACAAGTGTGTGCGTGTGGCACGTGCAAGAAGGAGTTCCACTCACATCTTGCTGTTCCTTAGGTTACAGCTTCTAGAATGTGATTTGGCGGCAAAGCTCAGCTTTGTCTCTACTCTGTAGCTCTGTGACCTCAGCATTTAACCTCTGTAATCCCGAATCTCCTCTTGTGTCCATGCACTATGCAGTCGAGAATGAACTCCTGAACTAGTCACCTTCCAAGTGCTGGGGTTGGCATGGGCTGCCGTGCCCAGCGTGGATTTTGAATATTGGTTCTGGTGTCAGGTGGTGAGAATGTGGTTTGAGTGGGGAGCATAGATTTCAAAACAGAGTGATGGTACTCTGTTGCCAGGTCTGTTCTTCCTTAGGCCTTCCTGTGTTTGGGGGCTCCTCATCTTCTCAGCCTGTGCCACTTTATCAAGAGAGGTGGATATTTCTACCCGAGGAACAGAATGAGGGCGCTGTTAGTCCTGCCTCTGCAGGGTGTACTTTAGGGGGAAATCTTTTTATTTCCCCAATTCCCAAATTTTGGAACTTAGCCAAATCATGTGACAGGATGAGTCCATGGATTGTCTAATTTATGTTTTTGTGGAGCCCTTAGCTCATACTCTGAACTTCTGCCAGTTCCTCTGATTCACAGTGTGGTACTCAGTGTTTGTTGAAATTACTGCATCTCTCGAGAGTAAGGAAATGATTTAAAATAACAAATGTATATGTAAAACAAAGTTTTTTTTTCTTTTTTTTTATTAAACATGTCTTAATTTCCGTAAAGATTGGTTTCCTTCCAACACTGTATAGAGCTAAATGATGAACTACTAAAGTTGAGTGGGATGGCAAGGGGGGCCAGAAGGGCTCTAAGGGAACGGTTCAATCACGTCCTAGTCCTGTGGAAGGAGTGCAGGCGTTCTGAAGTCAGGTGACTCGTCCAGACAGTCTGTATGGGCTGTAACTTAGTTATGGGCAGTTACATTGAGGGCTGCAGCGACAGGTCCTTTAAGGACTTTTAAGTGACAGGTGCCAAAAGTAAGAAGAAAATGTTACATCATGCATGAAGTTAAATAACCAAAGATTCTAAAAGCCACAAGAGACAGGGGAATTATAAACTCAGGACAAACCGTTAAAAAGTCTATCCCATGAAATCTTCTAGGCTGAGTATTGTTGCCTATTCAGGTTAAGAGTGTAGGTGAGGATCAGATCAGTGCTTCTGTCCATGCCCTGGTGGTTTGAATAAGAATGGCCCTCATAGGGTCATATATTTGGATGCTTAGTCACCAGGGAGTGGCACTGTTTGAAAGGATTAGAAGGATTAGGAGGTGTGGCCTTATTGGAGGAAGTTTGTCACTGGGGGTGGGCTTTGAGGTCTCAAAAGCCCCTGTCAAGGCCAAAGTCTCTTTCTTTCTCTCTCTCTGCCTACAGATCAGGATGTAGTTCTCAACTCTTGTTCCAGTGTCAGCCTGGGTGCTGCCATGCTTCCTGCCATGATGATAATGGGCTGAACCTCTGAAAGTGTAGGCAAGCCCCCGATTAAATGCTCTCTCTTCTAATAGTTGCCTTGGTCATGGTGTCTCCTCACAACAGTAGAACAGTGACTAAGACAGTAGTCGTACTCTACTTTAAAAAAAATGTAGAGTGTAGCTTTTTATATTGTCATTCAGCTTTCTCTTCCTCATCAGAATCAATTTTTTGAGGTATTTCTTAGCTATTCTTGTTTCTTTATTTTGAAAACTTTATTCAGGTCCCAAGGCCAATTTTTGAATAAGTTGTTTGCTTTTTAAAGTTCTTTATATATTCTGTCATATGACAACTGGTGAAGATTTTCTCCCTCTCTGTGGTCTTCCTCTTTGCTTGCTTGCTTGTTTCTTTATCTGTGCAGAAGAATTTTATTTTAGCAAGGTCCCATTTGTCAATTGCCAGCCTTCATCCTGGGCAAGTGGAGTCCTATCCAGCAAATCTTTGCCTATACGTGTTTTCTTCTAGCAGTTTGAGTGTTTTTGTACAAGGTCATAGCTATGGGCTAATTTCACTCTTCTTCCTGTGGATGCCCAATCCTCCCAGCACTGTTTGCTGAAGATTCTGCCTTTTCTCCAGTGTTTGTGTCTTTGACATCTTTGTCAAGTTTTGCATGGCTGTAGTTATGAGGACTCCTGTATGCGTCTTCAGTCTTGTTCCATACAGCTCACTATGGTAACTATCGAGAGATTATAACACATGGAAGCACACTTCCTGTACAGTCCCTCCAGTCCTGAAGGTTTAAAGGACCTGAAGTCAGAAAGTTTTAGGAGTACTGACCCCAGCTGTGGCTAAGGGAGGGATGTCAGTGTGGTCACCTGGTGTGGTCGCCCGGTGTGGTCACCCCACTTTCTCGAGGCTGCCTCTGTTGGTCTGTCTTCTCTGTGGAAGCTTGAAGAGGAGCTCTCGCTCTCCCAGCTCCTGTTAACAACAGTGGCTGAGCATGTTGCTGACTGTGGCAGGTCCTGATTCCTGTGTTAGGGGCTTTGAGTGCAGTAAAGAATGGTCAAATACAGTTCTCTGTGTTTCTTCTGCAAGAAGCTGCTTTTCATTTCAGTCTGGGTTGTCCGTGTAGAGATGAGATAAGGCTTAGAAGCTGCCGGATCAGCTCGCCTGCTCCACAGTCCTGGGGCTTTGACCTGGATTTTATTTCTCACAGGTGCCATTGGCTAGTTATTATGTAGTACTGGTTCAGCATAGGTTTAAGGATGTTGCTGAAACAGTAAATTTTAATTCTAATTTCTCCTTCCCTTGGGGAATTTTATTATCCTTGAGAGTCTGAAGCGGCAATCTGTTTGACTGCTTGGTGTGTAAATCACTGTCGACTTCAGGCTCCTTTCAAAAAATAGCTGTTCCATCCAGCTGTTGCTATATTTGTTTAAGTACGTATTTTAAATTCTTCAAATAAGTCCTATCCTGTACACCCAGACATGTACAAAGATCGCACAAAAAAGCAAATCAAAGGTGAGCTAGCACGTGATCAGTCAGCCCTTTCAGATCATCAGCTAGTCTCTGTTTGGCTCTTCAGAAGGTCCACAGACACTTTGATATACTTCTAGTGAGAATGAATTGATTCAGTGACAGGGAGGGCCCTTTGGGACCAGCTCTGCTCCTTTGAAGATGTATGCCCGTACTTTCAGATGTAGGCGAACGAAGTCTAAATCATACCAGACCTTGTGCAGAGTTGTCTTACGTACTAAATCATTCTCTGGGCTAACGTTAAATTTTAGTCTTGATCTTCTGTAGGCTTTTCTGGGGAATTCTTTACTGAAGATGGTACCGAAGGAAGAGACAATTCTTTACATTCTGGGGTTTCATTCTTCTATGCCCATTCTATAGAGACACCCTCTGACCCATGAAACTGTAGTTTCTGGGCATGTGGGCATTGATTGTTTTTGTGGGAGTGTGGGGGCTCCATATCCACAAATACTTTGCTTTTAGAGTGAGTTTAAGAGAAATGACCTTAAACGGAAATATGAAGACTTGAAAACAAGCCAAGTATAGTAGTATGCATCTGTATTCCCAGCCTCTGGGAAGCTGAGTCGGGAGGATTTCAGGAAGTTTGAGATCTGTCACGGTTACCTATGGGTGAGGGGGAGACCCCACTTTTTGGACATGTGGTTTTGCTTCCAGCAAGTATACATACCCATACTTGTAATTAGTGACTGGTGCTAACAATTAACCAACTTACCTTAAATATCTGGAATAAATAAAGCTCTTGGGGGCTGGAGGGATGGCTCAGTGGTTAAGAACACCTGTTGCTCTTACGGAGGCCCTGGGTTTGATTCCTTGCACAACCATCCGGAGCCCTAGTTGTAGGGGCTCCGATGCCTTCTGAGCTCTGCAGGCACAAGGCACGCCAGTGGTGCACATAAATAAATGAAAGGCAAAACATCTTCTACATAAATAAAATAAAGCTACAAAAATGAAGAAAAATTTAAAACAACAGTAACTCCACCAAAGCTTTCTTCAGGAAGCCATCCTTGTAGATTGGCTGAAAGTGCAGAAAGTATTTTAAAAATCCTCTCATGGATGAAGGCCTCTGCAGTTACGTGATCACTTCTTTGTGGGTGGACCTGGAAGAGAGCTCAGGTCATTCTAAATGTCAGCCCTGCTTTTCCTATTGACCGTGCCTGTGGGGATTCCAGTTTGTTTGAGTATGGTAGAATTACTTCAGAACTTTCTAGAAATTAATTTAGTCACCCACTGCTGCCAGCCAGGTCCCTGGGCTCAGAGACATCCCCCCCCCCCCTTTCCCATGTGATACCACCAACTGGAGACCAAGTGTTCAGACCTGTGGGCCTGTGGAGGACATTGCACATCGAACCATGACAGGATTTGGTTAGGATGGGTTTGGAAATTAGCAAATAAAAAGAGAGTCCCTTGAGCTCAGTGGAGAGAATAGCAGTATACCACCATCCTTTTTTGTCTATTAGTTTAATGTTTTTAGTTATTTTGGTAGCTAATCTTTACTTAGGTGACTGTCATGCTAAGACAGCAAGAAGTATGTTCTGTGAGGAGAGAAGTAGATAGCTGTTAAATTAATCTTTATCATGTGTGGAGCCAATTCAGCTCACACCAGTGATTCTCAACCTGTGGGTCACGACCCCACACATTGTATATTAGATATTTTGCACATCAGATATTTACATTACGATTCATAACTGTGACTTTGCTACTGTTATTAAGTAGCAACGAAATAATTTTATGCTTGGGGGTCACATAACATGAGGCACTGTTTTTTTTTTTTTTTTTTTTTTTTTTTTTTTTCTTTTTTTTTTTTTTCTTTTTTTGGTTTTTCAAGACAGGGTTTCTCTGTGTAGCTTTGCGCCTTTCCTGGAACTCACTTGGTAGTCCAGGCTGGCCTCGAACTCACAGAGATCCGCCTGCCTCTGCCTCCCGAGTGCTGGGATTAAAGGCGTGCGCCACCACCGCCCGGCGAGGCACTGTTTTGAAGGTTTGCAGTATTAGGAAGGTTGAGAACCACTGCTCTAGACAATGTGAGGCATGTTGGCTCTATTCCATGTGGTGGTCTTTGCTGTTTCAGAGAGTACTGAGTACGTCAGACACAGATACCTACAAGTCACCCAGAAGTATCTGAAAATGCACACAAAAAATTGATGATTAATAAGCCAAGAACTACTTACTGAGTAGCTTAATGTTACCTAGTCATATCATCAAACAACTTGGATTTTGTTTGAAAATAATATTTTACATGTAACTGGGGCTTAGTAAATTAATTGTATGATGTTACTTTTAAATTTTAGATTATTAAGTAAAAGTTTCTTTTTCTTTTGGAAAATGTGGTATGTTGATTTTTTTTTTTTTTAAAGGCTTTCTTTTCATGAAGGAATTCTGTGATCTTTATTTTTGTATTGTGACCATATGTCTTCAGGCAGAAGTTGCTGTTCATTCTTTACCCTCCCTGTCTCCTCCCCCCCCCCTCCCTCAGTGAAATAGCCCTGGCTAGAGGCATGCAACCTTTTTGCTATTAAGTTTCTGTGAAGCAGGGCCAGGAAGCTTTGTCGGGATGGTTGAGGAGTGTGGTTATGTCTCAATTTGTTTGGACTGACTTTGATTGAATAGACTCCTGGGCTGTCCAAGAAGTGATGTGTGTACTACTGCGTTTGTTCTGACATGTGAACTCACTCTCTGAGATACTGAACCAACAAGTGGATCTCCTCCCTTGCACATGGCAGAGAACCACAGTTTCAGAGCTGCTGTGCCAATTAGGAACTGGCCTTCTGTGTTTAGCTCTGCATTACTTACTGTTCTCATCTCTGTAATAAAACTCCCGACAAAAGCAACTCGGGATTGATTTTGTCTCCCCGTTCGGGAGATTTTAGTTCATCGTGGCAGGGAAGGCCTGGTGAGAGCAGCTCAGTCGGTGTTGGTGGGAACATGAGGCATCATGGCTAGTCACATTGGCCAACCAGGATGCAGAGAATTCTAGATCAGAATTAAAGGCAGGTATAACCTGCTGCTGCCTGCTAGAACTCTTGACTCAAAGGTTCTGCAACCTTCCAATGTAGTAGGAGCACTCAGCAGCTGGGGACCAAGTTTTTAAACCCTCGCGCCTTTGGGGGACATTTCACATCAAACCATGGAGGATTTTGTCAGGATGTGTTAGATTCCTGTCCTTATCTTTCTTCTAAGGAAGTTTATTGTTGATCCTTAATTTATTTTTAATTTTGTAAATAATTGAAACAACTTGGAAGTAGACACCAGTATAACAACCTTCCATATCTTAATGTGTGAGAGAGTGTGTTGTCACATGGTGCCTTGCCCTCCTCAAGTACAGGAAAGGCATTATCCTACACAACAGCTTTCTATGTTAGAATCGGAAAATTAAGAAAGGTGGGTTAATAATAATAATCATTGTGAGAAAAAAGGTAACAGTAATTCACAATTGAAATTCTGATACTAAGCCTGGCATGGTAGTGCACACCTTTAATCCCTGTACTCAGGAGGCAGAGGCAAATGGATCTCTGAGTTCGAGAACAGCCTGGTCTAGAAAGTGAATTCCAGGACAGCCAATGCTACACAGAGAAACCCTGTCTTGAAGCCCCACTTCTCCACCAAGGAAAAAACCAGGGTCTGACACCAGAAAAACCCTGTAGTTAGTACAGATCTCCTGACAAATCAGAGGCAGGCAGATGGCTGTGGTCATGGGGCTGTCATGTGTTTGTCTGGGATTCTAGACTAGGTCTGTATTGAAGTTGACATTTTGTAGGGGAGCTTTTTGGATGACTAGTCACTTGATTACTACATAGTGCCAGTTTTTGACTCTGCAGTTGGCCTGGGTTCCTGTTTTCAGAGCCATCCTGGTCATCTCATCTGCTTCTTGGTGTAGTCTCTGGGAGCTGTTTTTCATTACTAGGTTGGGAATTTCAGGACATCACAGGAATTCAGTTACATAGCTTGTAGCCACCCGCTGCACCGTACAGATGGTCTTGCATGAATGGATGCCCACCCTTACATCTCTTTTACTGAGGAATGAGAGTTTAGGAGTCCAAGAAAACATTGAAGAAGACCCCAGACTCAAATGGTAGGCAAGAGCAAGGAGCTTTTATTTACCAGCATGCAGGATTGACCATCTGTACACAAATGGTGACCCGGGACAAAGGTGTGCAGGTCCTTTTAAGCATGGCTAGGGGAATTTTAGGAACAGTTAGGTCATCTCAAACATAATTGGTTAAACAGGCAGCGGTTATATTAATGCGTTTTTGATAGGCTGAGGTTTTAGTTTTTTTATCTTTGGACATACTTGGGTAAGTTTCGAGGGGGTTGAGGGAACTATCCTCATTTGGACATTGCTTTGAGATATTGTGGGGTGACTCAGGCCTTGTATGTTTCTTCTCCCTCATCCTGCTGTCAGGGGTGTTGTTGATTAATAGCCCATTGCTTAAGACACTGAAACTTAGACCAGCTTGTAAAATGGAAATTTAGACCTCTCAAGAGTACTTGTTTGTAATCGGATAGACCTGCTTTTTCTCTTTACTTAATTCCTAAGAAAAAGTTCCCAAGTTTCTCATATAGTTACTCTCTCATTGACATTGGAGAGTGACATTGTCAAAATAGCATCATGCTGGAGGTAAATACAATAAAGAACAATTTTTCATAGAAAAAATGAAAATTTTTAATAAGAAGATTAGTTCTTTGAAAGCTTTATTATAGGAAATTTTAGTTTAAAAAGTTTCCTGGTAATATCTATGTGTGTGTGTTTATAGAACTATTGATTAAATTTCAATTTTAAAATACTTAAACTGAAAAGAAACTTCATACATCTCCGTTGGCCTTGACAAAATGTCTTGAGTTCTTTATATTAATTTTTATGTAGGAACTTCGTTTACATTAAAACGACTGCACCTACAGATTGTGATTATTGTGTGTTCTTCAGGCTCTTGCAGACCAGTTTGAAGATAAAACTACACCTGTGCTGGAACGTCTGAAGATCTTCTATTGCTGTCAAGTGCCCCCTCACTGGGCTGTCCAGGTACTTCTGTTTGTCTTCGTGTGAAAACTGCTCCGAATCAGAGAAGAAAACACGTTAGAAAGGGATGACTTAGGTGTAACTATTGAACTTTTAAATATTTCACTGAAATGAATAAAAGCGGTTGGGAATTTTCAATTGTTTCAAATTGCCGTTTTGATTAAAGTGGTAATGGATTTAGAAAGTTTTGAAATGGTTTTAAATTGGAAGTAGGTAGAACCCTAGAAATTAAGATAGGAGAATCATAAATGCTTTTGTTTTCCTTTTCATGAATTGGAGTTTATTAAGGAAAGGTTTTAATACAGATTTAAGCATAGGTATGGAGACAGGGAGAAAGAGTGGGAGGAGAGAGAGAATGCATTAGACAAGAATGGATTTGGGCTTCTCAGGAGAGTTGCTTGCCTGCTTTCCTTTTCAAAAGGACATTTTATATTAGCTTTTAAAAGATTTACTTTTTTTTTTATGTATAAGAGTGTATATGTGTGAGAGTGTGTATGTGAGTATGTATGTGTATATGAGTGTGTGTGTGTGTGTGTGTGTGTGTGTGTGTGTGTGTATGACCATGGAGTACAAAAGAGAGTGTCCAGGACTGGGGCTGTAGGTAGTTGTGAGCCGCTTGACATTACACAGGGGACTGAACCCTCCTGGCCTTGGAAGAGGAGAAAGTGCTCTTAACTGCTGAGCCATCTTTCAAGCCCCAGCATTTTATATTCAAATGTCTTCAAAGACTTTCTACCAAACAACAAACCTTTGAACCTTTTAATGGTGTTCACAAAAAAACAAAAGGAAAGCATTTATTTGATACATTATGTTTTGAGATACCCCCTGACTGTTCTCTTTCCAGGGTGCAGGGTGACTGGGGGAGCTCCTAAAGCCCCAAGCTGCTGTGGGATAATGCTCTTGTACACTGTAAAGATCTGCCACTTCTATTAGTTTAATATGCTGATTGGCCAGTAGCCAGGCAAGAAGTGTAGGCTGGGTGACCAGACTAGGAGAAGGATGGGAAGATGAAAGGCAGAGATGGAGTCACCAGCCAGAGGCAGAGGGAGTAAGATGAGAATGTTGGACTGAGAAAAGGAGACCAAGCCATGTGGCTAAATTAAACATAGGCAAGAATTATGGGTTAATTTAAGTGTAATAGTTAGCTAGTAACAAGCCTGAGCTATTGGCTGAGCATTTATATTAAGCCTCTAAGTCATTTATTTAGGCAGCAGCTGCCAGGTATTTGTGAACTGGCGGGCGGGAGAGATTCATCCGTCTACACCAGACTGAGTTGGCATGCTGGCCTTTTGTCCCCATGATTCTCTTGAATTGTAGGTATGCTCCCCATAGTTGTTTCCTACTTGATGGAAAAGAAAATTGAGCCCCCAGTGCAGTGAACTTCGCACAAGAACTAGCTCCTGGTGTCTTGACATTTAATACAGTTCCCCTTCTCTTACCTTTTTCCCCCATTTGAGACTGAGTCCATGGCCGGGCGGTGGTGGCGCACGCCTTTAATCCCAGCACTCGGGAGGCAGAGCCAGGCGGATCTCTGTGAGTTCGAGGCCAGCCTGGACTACCAAGTGAGTTCCAGGAAAGGCGCAAAGCTACACAGAGAAACCCTGTCTCGAAAAACCAAAAAAAAAAAAAAAAAAAGAGACTGAGTCCTAGTCTGTAGTCCCGGCAAGCCTGAAACTCACACAGCTTTGCCTGCCTCTGCCTTTCAAGTGCTGGGATTAAAGGCACACTTAGCAGGATACATACATTTTGTTCTACAGTTTCCAATTACCTTATCGCACTAATGTTATAAAATGTCCCAGATTTTAGAGATGGGGCACTATAGCACATAGATTAAATGATGTAGCCAGAGGTTTCTAGATGATCAGTGACTTGGCATTTTAGTCAGCTTCCTGACCTATCACTTGTGTATTATACACACAAGAGAAATTAGAATTAGAGAAGCTGTCTAGTGTGCAGTGGCCCAGAAGCCCTGTTATGAGATTCCTTAAACTCAGAGGTTCATTTATTTCACTTTGGATGCTGTAACTCAGGAGCAGCTTCTTCATCCAGGAGAAGGTAACAGCTGGGGCCTTTGGTACACACTGACCCCAGTCTGTGGATTTGTGAATGCCTCATCCTGTGTGGTTTGTGTCTGGTCAGCAGTTGAGAGTCTGAGCTATTATTAGAAGAAAGTGTGTCTGTGGAGCGTGTAGCTTCTGTTCTTCGGTTAGAGCCTGAGCCTTACCACCTGAGCCCTCTCTCTAGCCAAGAGTGTGGCTGTTGTTCTTCTGAACAGACCACTAGGAAACCTAACTGCTGTCCAGAGAGAACTTGTCTGCTTAGGAAGCTATGATTTCAGAGTCCTTAGGCAGTTTGAGAAAATGTAGATCAGTTTTCATGAAATTAAATCACCCCTTTTCTTTTCATCATAGTGACTAGCCGTATCTTTATATGTTACTTTATTGTTACAAAGTCTTTCCTGGCTCGTAGTCTCCACCTTTTCATAAAGATATTGAAGTACTTAATTAAAGATAGTGAAGTAGCTTGTATCTAGTTTCAGAAAAGATTCAGCCAGTGCTCTGAAATTGCGAAATTCTCCTATATTTTGTGGTACATAGAAATATTTTTAAGCCCTGTTCCCTTCTCTTTTTGAGACGCGGTCTCACTGTGTGTCCCTGCCTACCCTGGAACGTACTATGTGAAGACCAGGTTGGCCTCCAGCACACAGAGATCCACTTGCCTCTGCCTCCCAGCATTGAGATTAAGGCTCACACCTCATGTCTAGCTTCCATTAAGCTTTGTAATTCTTCAATGTGAGCTGAGTTTCAAAGAGCAGTAAAGGTGTATTCAAAAGAGAAAACAACGCAGTTACCAGTGACATGAAGCCAGACCTTGTTCAAAGCATCATCTCCTTTATTTTCTCGTGATGTTGAGTGCATTGTTTACTGGCCCTCACCTGCTTTGCGCGCTCATCTTGATATTCCAGGGGCTGGGAATTAGGTGACATAGATTACTAGACTGTGTCTAAAATAAGCAGGACTGCTTGAGACAGAGCCTGAGATGCCCTCATGTATAAATTCCCAAGGACTAAGCACAGAGATTTTAATGGTGTCTGCATTGCTTCCTTGGAGCTTTAAACACTGGTTTATTGGAGATGACCTTTACAAATCAGAGCTTCTCAAGGAAGGAATCTTTAGATAAGAAGGAAATAATTGAGTTGGTTTTTTGAGTTCCGAGTTCTTAAAAATTTGATGTGTTGAGTATTTTGATCAGTACTTCATCGCCTGTAGAAAAGCTTGCTGAAGTAGTGTGGTTCTCACAGATTCCTAGATAGTAGAGGTTGAATTCCATAAATGATGTATATATGTGTTACAATAAGCAGCCCTTTAAAAAGCAGGCTGGAGATATGGGAAAGCAAAATGGATTTGCTTCCTGTTGAGGCGTGTTGATGACTCTCATTTGTTTTTCTAGCGCCAGCTTGCAGGTTTGCTCTTTGAGTTGGGATGTACCACTTCAGCCCTTCAGATATTTGAGAAGCTGGAGATGTGGGAAGACGTGGTCATCTGTCACGAAAGGGCTGGGCAGCATGGGAAGGTATGTAACAATCACGTCTGTGAATGGTGGGCCCCTTCTTCCTTCCACACGTCTCCATTGCTCTTGAGAAAGCCTGCTTCTGACAGTATTTACTCCCATTCCTTCTTTCACTAAAGACTTCTTAGTGCTTTCTCTGATTTATGTTGGGCAGCTTATTTTATGTGTCCATAAAAGAGAAAAGCAGCCTGGAGTTGGTACAATGTTTGGCATTTAAGAAAGAATAATAAAAACTTTGAAGGCACTGAATGTTTTGATCTATTTTCCTATTGATTCTTCTATAGGTCAGCTTTGAAGTAAAATATCAGGAATTAATTTTAATTGTCTTTGGGGTACCTGATGGTTAGAGGCTGTGGACACGTGGGAGTTATCTAGGGAAAGGCTATGTGAGCCCTGATGAGGCAGGAGCCTTATGAAGTGTGTGATGCATATTTAATTCCACTCTTAAACTGGGTCAAGAGAGAAAATGCTGGAATATTTGCATCTGTTATAAATCTGTTGTCTCTTCTCATATGTGAACCATATTTTGAGACTTGTGTCTCTACACTGTGAGTAGCCATAAAACTGGATACATTGAAATCATATGTTAATTAAAACAATTTAGTTTTATTTTATGTGTGGGTGTTTTGCCTGTATATATGTATGTGCTCGGTGCCCACAGAGGCCAGAAGAGGGTGTAGGATCCTCTGGAACTGGAGTTACAGGCGGTTGTGAGCCACTGTGTGGCTGCTGGGAACTGAGCTGAGGTCCTCTGCAAGAACAGCCCATGTGTTTAGTTGCTGAGTCAGCTCTGCAGCCCTGCTCGTTAATGCCAATTGTACTTTGAATGACTGAGCAGAGCACACAACAGAGTACAGTCCTCAGGTTGGTCTCCACTCTCATCTTTACTCTTTCCGTTGTTATGAAGACGAGAAACAGTGCTTCGAGGGCACGGTTGTCTTCTCTATTTTCCTAAGTGTGCATATTAGGAGAGCTGGGACAGTTACGTGTCTTTCATGAACTGGTCAATGACAGCGAAGCTCTCTCTACACAGCGCAGTGTGGGGAGAGACCGTCAGTGTCCCCGGAGATTCAAGGTCCCTTTCATAGGTTTTTAGTCTCGCAGATAAAGGAATTTAAGATGGAGCTGGCATACTGCCTCTACAGGTAAAAATAATTGCTGTGCGCTGGGGCAGTGGTGGCGCACGCTTTTAATCCCAGCACTCAGGAGGCAGAAGCAGGTGGATCTCTGTGAGTTGGAGGCCAGCCTGGGCTACATAGTAAGAGCCTGTTTCAGACAAAACAAAACAAACAAAAAAAATCAAAAGTTGATAAAGCTTTGTTTTGTACTAAGCTACATAAACAGATTGCCATAGAAAATGCCCAACAATGTTCTGAAGGCAGAAATAATTGTCAAACTTTACTGATTAGATTAGGAAAAAAAAAAAAAATCAAAGCAACCAGAGGCTAGTGTGAATTACACAGAGCATTAGGTCATGGTCAGAGCATTTTCCTCTTTCAATAAGAATTTGTCTTATGATTGATAGCATCTCAAATTTGATGAAATATAGAACCGTGTTTCTTCAAAAACTTTGATTTTGCTTTGTTTTGTTTTTTTGATTTTCGGAGACAGGGTTTCTCTGTGTGACAGTCCTGGCTGTCCTGGAACTCGCTTTGTGGACCAGGCTGACCTCGGACTCACTGAGATCCACCTGCTTCTGCCTCCCGAGTGCTGGGATTAAAGGCGTGTGCCACTACTGCCTGGCTCAAAACTTAACTATTTTTTAGCATCTGTTGTCTCAGATGTTTGTTTAAAGAAGGAACGAATGGAGAATGAATGTCTTAGTTTCCAGTCCCATGCAGCTCCCGTCTCATCATTCCTTACTGTGTAATTCTTTTACATTGGTTAAGAAATCAATAGTGACTACAGGAAATATTGCTACCTTTGAAATGGTGGTATTTTAAAATGACCTTCGTTCTTTTATGTGAGTAGGTGTTTTGCCTGCATGTGTATCTGTGTACTGTGTATATATCCAGAGTCTGTAGAGGCCAGAAGAGTGTAGCAGATCTCCTGGAAGTGGAGTTAGAGACAGTCCTAAGCCACCATGTGCATGCTGGGAGTCAAACCCCCGTTTTCTGGAGGAGCAGCCAGCACTCTGTACCGCCATGCTGTCTCTCCAGATGATGAAGTAGTGGTTCTTTAGACAGAAAATGTTGGAGTTTTTTAGAACATTAAGCAAGTGTGCAAATCACAAATATTCAAAGCAAGCTTAAAATATTAATTTAGTTATTTTCAGAAAGTATGGGAAGCTGAGATTCTCTAATTGAAGAAAAGCGTATAATGCATCATGCCCATCAGGGAAGGGGATTGATGCTTTCCCTAATAACTGTGATGTTATTGTTTTCCAAAATTTGAACATGATCTTGTAGGAATTAGAGTACTGATAAATGCCTCTATTTCTAAATATTCTTGGAAATGTATATATTTTAATCTTTAGAAATGTAGTTATTTATTTTGTTGTATATTTTTGTGACTTACTGCTTACAAATGCCATCTTGATTTTTTTAAATTCTTTTTTGGATTTATTTTTTACTTTATGTGTAAGAATGTTTTGTTTGCATGTATGTGTGTACAGCACATGTGTGCCAGGTGCTTGCAGAGGTCAGAAGAGGATTATATCCCCTGGATCTAGAATTATGGATGACTGTGGAGTTACAGATTGTGGTGAGCCTCTTTGTAGGTGTTGGGCACCAAACCCATGTCCTCTGCAAGAGCAGCAGGCGCCCTTGACTGCTGAGCCCTCTCTTCAGCTGTCCCTTCCCCGCTTTTCCACGTTATATTTTCAGATAAAAAGTACTGCTTCAAGTTGGGAGCAAGTGCTTTTTTTCTGAACAGTTAAGCTTCTAGAACTTGGCCATGTGCCGGAAGTTTTCACTGCATTTTGATTTCGCTAGATGTTTGACACTTTAATTCTTGTATTTTCTGCTTAATGGGATAATTTATTTTTTAAGAGGCTAATTTAGAGAAATGCCCGAGTCTAACGGTTGTTGTGATGATCATGTTTACTCCTTGTCCTTGTAGGCACTTTGCCTTTCTAATTTAGAATACTGCTCGCAGACATTCTTGCTGTTTAATGGCCATTGGCAAAGCATCTAAGATTAATTTTGGTTGACCCTGGCATCAGAGCTGGTTCTCATCTGTTAGCATTAATTTTTCAGTTATTTGGCTCACTTGTCAGAGTTTCCTTCAGTGGATGGCAAAAATCTCATTTTGCTGAGCAAACCCAGCTTGGTCTCTAAATAAGCAACAAAGACTGAGCTGGCATCAGCTGGAGGTGAGGCTAGAAGGTGAGGAGAGTGTGGAGAGAAATAAGGATTGGGTCTCATTTCCTTATAGGAAACCAGGTTTGCCTGAGATCACATAGCCATAGCATTTTCAAATTACTGCAAGCGTGGATTCTTACCATTTTAAGATCCAAGTAATGTGTTACTTTGAAAACAGCTGAGTGTTTTTAGTAGTCAGTTTAGTTTTTTGGGGGCGTGGGTGGTTTCCAAGGTTAGAGTTCCTTTATGTGCTTTGTGAGAGTCCTTCTAAGTTCTTCGCCAGAGCGGGCTTCCTAGCGCAGTGTCTGACCATGGCAGTCTCGCCCGCCAGCGACTTTGTCTCCGGGATGGAGTGAATGGTTGCTGGTGTGTCATGGTCTGGCTGTTGCACGTGGCCTCATCCCTCCTAGTCTCTTGTCCATGTTACTCCCCTGGTTCCAGGCAGACGAAGCTCCTGTAGTTACCTGGCTTGGTGGCATGGTCTTAGTTCATGCTCTTGTGTCTGGAACTCTTGTCCTCTGTAGCTGCCTCTTGCTTGTTCTTTGGGTCTCCTTTGGTGTCTACAGAGCGTCTGCCCTCCGCTTCCTCTCCAGATCTGCATTGCTCTCCTGTCAACTCCTCAGCTCCCAGGACTACTCTCCTATCCCATTTGCAGCCTCATTTCCTCTGTGCTATTCACTCTATGTCATTTAGAGCTGTGTCCCCAGCCACCCTAGGCCCTACATCACAAATAGTTGAGAATGTACTAGGAGGCAGATACCCAGTGGAACCCTCCTTATGGATGACTGACCATATGGCAGAACATCCTGTTTCGTTCTCAGTAGAGAGAGACCCGCCCCCCCCCACTTTTATTTTAACTTTAGAAATAGAAACTGGAATTCCGATTTTCACAGTGATGATCAGGACACCCTAGTCTGTTGGTAGATGTTGTAGTTCCCAAGTGCTTCTCGTGGATTATTCTTTACCTGCTTGGTTTGTGGTCATTGCATGCTACTTGTAAGAAACTACAAGGAATCAGTTTTGTCATTTTGTCATACTGGGTAGGTAGCATTGCTGAATGGCAGATTTTGTCTTCAGAGAGCCATTTCCGGTAAAGCCTGTTCTTTCCCCATACCTGCCGGCCTGAGTGGTTACTGTTACTCCCTTAAAAATTGGAGATTCAATTTTTAAAGGCAAAGTAATTGAAAATGCTCCATAGCTGGGTAACGCAAATAGGAGGTGACCAGCTAATCGGATAACTAGGCCTGTTTTAAATTACTCTGTTTTATCTTGGACTTGAAGTGTTTGTGTTGGCAAGTACTCTTCTGAAAAAACCAAGCCAGAGCCTGGTGTTGTCACACACATAAACGTAAGAAGCAATTAGTGAGGCGCGGGCCAGGAGTGCGTGGCTGGGAGAAGCACCACACAGGTCGTGAAGCTGGGAGGGTCCAGCCGGGAGTGGGGCCTTTGCACTCTTCACTCTTGGTCCTTGCTCATGGAACGTGTCTTGGTACCAGCAGGAAGCTGTCTGAGAGCTAACTCTGACACAGTGGATCAGCCACGTTTGTCCTCTGCTTCAGGGGAGAAGACTGGAGTTAGGGGAAACCCGTTGTGTGGGTCCCTGCACGTTTGCACTGTTACACCTCGACACGTGCATGATTCTTTTGAACTCAAGCCTGTTGCCAAAGGCCACCTCTTTTTCTCTGATTTTTTCATTGTTAA